TAACAAATACTAAAATGCTTCCCACATAAAAGCAAACTGGTGTCATGTCATCTCAGAGATGGGTTAAAAAGTGAGAAAACTAAACCAGGCAATTATAGCTGAATGGCTAGAGGTTATTTCAAATGTGAAAACCAGACTCATAATCCAAAATTCCAACTACTGCTTTAAGATTACCAGGCCCCTTAGTAGTTTTACACAATGATGTGTTAAATTGTTTATCTTATTTACTAAATGAATGGGACAGACAAGTATGCACAATGAATGTTTATGAGTTAGGAACAGCCCAAAATAAAACTGAATTTTGATGCTATGACACTGAATAAAGAGAAGAAATATCCTTTAGTGAAACCTTAGGAATTGAGATTAATGCAGAGTGGTCATTCTGAGAAGATATGAAGACATTTGTTTTTAAGAAGCAATATCATTACTCTAATTTACATGTAATATTCTGATTGGTCTAGGCTAACAAAAGTGTTGTCCCTTATATGATATGCTTTAGTGAATGAAAAATTACTTATAGTCAGGTTCATAGTAGTTTAATTACTTCTCCCATAAATTTGTTTATAAGCCTAACAACACACTTCTTTGGACTGGATGAGAGACAGTGAGAAGGCTAGCCCCATGTGCACATTATTAAATTTCAAACTAGTAGCATTTGTATCAATAATTCCAAGTTCTTAAAAAAATAGTATAACACATGACAAGAACAAGTTCATCTGTGTGTGGTGGGCTAGTGATGAAGGAGGTCATTGAGAAGAAAGACCAAAAAAAGAAGAGAGGGGAAGCAGTACAAAGTGGAGAATAAGAGAAAAAAATATATATTTAGTTGCATGTCTTTAAGAAAATAATTTCAGTCCAGTATTACAGTTAAGTGTCAAAGAGTGACCAACCACAGCTATTGACCTTCTCTCTCCCAGGGTGCTATAAAGATAGGGGAATTAATGAAATCAATATTCTTTACTGCTCACCTGCCATAAACTTTAAGTAACCCTGGACGAGACTGTTCCGTACACCTCTAGCATAGTCATTACAAGTATGGGCTCATGAGCCAGACTGCCTAGGTTAGAATCCTAGTTCTGCCAATACGAAAGTATTTTACCATTCTGAACTTGTTTCGCATAAGAAAAATAAGAATAGTACCTACTTTATAGGGTGGTTGGAAGAATGTAAATTGGTTTTTTTAAAATATATTTTTATTGATTTCAGAGAAGACAGGAGAGGGAGAGAGAGATAGAAACATCAATGATGTGAGAGAATCATTGATCAGCTGCCTCCTGCACACCCAGCATGTCCCGCGATCTCCTGGTTCACAGGTCAACACTAAACCACTGAACTGGGCGATGTAAATAGAGTTTTAGAAACACAATACACTTATAACAGTATCTGACACATAATATAGCCATTTAAGTGTTGTTGTTATTATTAGTAGTATTAGTTTTCTAATGCTGTAACCTCTCAAATTAAAAAAAAAATTAAAAATTGAATGTTTTTTCATCACATAGCCTACAGACTTTGATCACTATTTTATCCCTTCAAACCTAGAGTTTCCAGATCAGAAATGTCAGTTATTTAATCTTCAGATTGCTGGTAACATGAGGAATTTGCTTATTTTAAAAAAAATCCATGTAATCATCTGGAGTTAATATGAATCAAACTGTATTTTGTTATTGAGTAGCTTCATTGAAATCCCTCACTAGCTATCCTAATCAAGCTAAACCACATACATGCTGGGCTTTTATAAATACTTGATTGAGATAATTTACATACCATGAGTGCACCTATTTAAAGCACGTAATTTAATGTTTCTTAGTATACTTACAGAGTTGTGCAACCATCACCATAATCTTAGAACATTTTCATACCAAAATGAAATTTTATACCCATTATCAATCCCTCCTCATCTCATCCCCCCGCCCCCCACAGCCATAGGCAACCACTAATTTATTTTCTATATTTATGGATTTTCCTATTCTGGGTATTTAATTTAACTGGGATCATATATGTGCCCTTTTGTGTCTAACTTCTTGCATTTATAATGTTTTCAAGGTTAGTCCACATTGTAGCATATATCAGCATTTCATATCTCTTTATGGCTGAACAATACTCTATTGCATGGATATACTACTCTTCATTTATCCATTCATCAGTTGATGGGCATCTGGGTTGCTTCTGCCTTTTCATTATTGTGAATAATGCTGCAATGATGATATGGCAATTCTATGTTTTGCTTTTGAGGAACTGTCCAACTATCTTCCAAAGGAGCCACACCATTTTACAACCTCTCCAGAAGTGTATGAGAGTTTCAATTTCTTCACCAACTCTTTATATTGTCTTTTTATATACTGGGTTTTTTACTTGGGAAAGTAATTATTTCTTTGCAAATCAGCAGTGCCTGCTTATCTTTGTGTTACCGTTTCATTCGGAGCATTTTTTAAATTAACAGATTTTATTTTTTAGAAAAGTTTTTGGTTTACAGATAAATTGAGCAGACAGTACAGAGTTGTTTTGTTTTTGAGACAAACAAGATTTCAATCAATGTCCTTAGTCCCTTTAAATATTATTTCCTTGTATTCATTGACTGAAAGAGTTCCCTTCTCAGTATACCTTCAAAAGACACTGGTGGATCTATTTCATATCTGACATGCCCCTATAAAGATATTTTTCAATCAAAAATTGCAATTCAAACATACAACAGAGAGTTATTACTTAAGGGTACTCTATGGTGAATAATCTTTGTGAAACACTAAATTCTTCATACATATAAATAATCCCCCTATAAATGCTATGTGGCAAGAGGCAGATCTTTATGTACTCTCTGAGGGACCCTTACTGCAGCCTATTTCACTATAGAAATGGGTTAATCCTGAGTGCTCAATCAAAATATTCTATCCATCAATAAGTTATGGGAGGGAGGGGGTGAGAAGGATAATATATTAATCCATGACTAAGAACAGGATAAGATACTATACCAAAAGAGCAAATCAAATTCTTTAATTTGAACTATCTGCCCATGATTTTGGCTACTATAAAGACAGCATTCCTTAAAGCTTTAGTAATTTGGCTAAAGATCTCATCAGCTTAAAACTATTTTTTCTCCAAATTTCATATTAAAAATAATTTACTCTCTTGCCCCCTTTATTCTTTATCATTCATCAGAATATTAGTCTTATTAAGACAACTTAGGCTGAGTATGTAGTCATCGCTAGTGTCCTCTGTGGTTTTCTGCCTTATTTTATGTTGGACTTCCCCAGGCTCAGTACTTGGACTTTTTCTCATCTGACACTTATGTAGATTCCTAAATTGTAACAAATTAATCACTCTGGTGAATAATTTTTATGTGGGAGAGGGAGCTATGCACATGTGGGCATAGGGAGTACATGGGAAATCTCTGTACTTTCTGCACAATTTTGATGTGCAACTAAAACATCTCTAAAAAAATAAAACCTATTAAAATTAATTTTCAAAAGGTAGTGCTTTAGACTGACAGTTAAGAAGGACTGTGGGTGGTAGAATGAGACAAAGAACTCTGATAGCAATGTGCTAGTCTCAAACCTGCCACAATCCAGCTATGTGACTTGGGACAAATTTTCTTAGTTTATCTGGATTCTTGTTTTGTTTACCAGGATGTATAGGGAAGTAGATTTCAGTATGTCTTAACCTTTTTAGGGCTGTTCCCCTCCAGGATACCCTCCACACTGGGGTTATCTTCCTAAAAACAAAAGCTGTTGCCAAAACCGGTTTGGCTCAGTGGATAGAGCATCGGCCTGTGGACTGAAGGGTCCCGGGTTCGATTCTGGTCAAGGGCATGTACCTGGGTTGCGGGCACATCCCCAGTAGGGGATGTGCAGGAGGCAGCTGATCGATGTTTCTCTCTCATCGATGTTTCTAACTCTCTATCTCTCTCCCTTCCTCTCTGTAAAAAATCAATAAAATATATTTTTTTTAAAAAAACAAAAGCTGTTATGTTAATTCCCTATTTTAAACTTTCTTTGTCTGCCCTATCCCTCCGGATAAAAGTCAAACTCTTTCTTTGGGCATATAGAGACCCTTCATAATTTGACCCTTTGGCCACACTACTCTTCCTTTCATTCTAGCCCACATTATTTTTTAACCAGTGTTTCTCAAAGTATAATGTAAGGACCAGGTTCAGTGCCTGTAACAAAAGCAAAATGCCTTTGCCCCAAGTAAGGTTAGGTTCTCAGATGATGGGAACTTACATTTTCACAAGATCGCCAGATGATTTGCCTCACGTGGTATTTGAAAACCACTGTCCTACACCTTAGCCACACTGAACTTTTCTCATTCCTCTGTCTGGAATGTCCTTCCCTGTCTCATACATATGGTAACATCTGCTTTTTAGCACAAATATAAACTCCACTATGAAGTCCTTGGCCAATCCTCTAGTTCCCTCCTCTGTGCTTCTGCAGTACTTCGTTGATCTTTCACATAGTACATAGCACCTACTGTAATTGTCTATTATAATGTGAGCTTGGAAACAGAGACCATCTTAACTCATTTTTATATTCCCAGCATCTAAGATATGAGACACATAATGTTGTTTGAACACATAATGAATGGATAAGGATGAAGAACTACAGTAAACTACTTAGTCCACAAATATTTGAGTGCCTACAATGTGCTAGGCACTATTCTAATACAAGAAAGTAGGCAGAACATTTTGCTTATGAGACAATTAGAAACCTAGACACAGAGTTCTATTTTAAGCCTCTTTTAGCATTTTATCTGTACAAACTTCTAAATTAGCTACTTGGTTTTTTATTCATGATTAGAAAAGGACCACTTGCCTAATGTTTACAAGTGAGTGGCATTATGACAATGAATGACAGTGGGAAAGCACAATGCACTTAGTCTGTGCTCATAAATATGTTGTAAGAGTCCAGACTCCATTTCATAGACACCTTCTCTTTATCAGTCTCTGGAGAATGTAACTTATAAAGAACTGGCAAAGGGGAAAATAGTAAATGAAGACAAAACCAAAGTAATTCTTCCAATAAATTCTTTAATGAGAACCGAGGTCTGTAACATACACAGCAATAACTTCCCTGGTCTATGCCTTCTGCTCTCACCCAAGTCTGAGGCTAACCAACTACATTTAACCCACATTTGAAAAGAAGGCCATTTTGAATGTCACCCATCAGTATCCATCTTCATAGAAGATACCAATCTGGTGCCAGAATCTCAATGTTAACACTTCCTCTCAGGGAAGTTAACATGGTAACACAAACAACTGAACAATTTTGAACAATCCTATCTATTGTTCTTCCATCAGGAGGCCCTTAGGAGACCAATGGTTCAGTAAACACTCACAACTTTGTCAAAATACATTTGAAGAAGGAAAAGGGAAAAAGAGTAGAAAGGTTGGCAGGGCTTGGCTCACATGTAATTCAGTCCTTAGATCTGAAGTCTCTTAAGCTGCTCATATGTGATAAAAAACTGAAGAGTAAGTCATGGAAGATCACTGGGTTAACACAGAAAGCCAAACCCAGTTTTAAAATTGTGCATTGCATTCTTAAATTAAGGTAATTAGTTTGTGCTACTCTAAGTTGCACTTGCTTAAAAGTCTTTTTAAAAACAATACCTGGCAAATCAAGCATGTACTGAATGCCCACCATGTGCCCATTATCTTCACTGGCATTTAGCAATATAAACATTAAAATTCTAACATAATTGGAGACTTCAGGGGGAAAATAACACACACACACACACACACACACACACACACACACACACACAAGAACATCAATGGTAACATATAATTCAGTTCTAGAATAATCGTTTAGAGACATTAGGTAATCAGAGCAATCCCAAGGAGGGTGAAAAATACTATCTCCCTCAACCTATAGACTCCACAAGGGCAGGAAATTACTTTTCAACCATGCAATGCTCACCACTGTACACACACCACCACCCACAGCATCCAATTCATGACTCTGCATGTAGAAGGCACTCAAACAGTTAAAGTAAGGAGATTCACCCCTGAGGAAATAGCCCTTCTTGGCCCTAGATTCCTTCACCCTATCAATGTTTCCTGTCTTGTTATTTCTCCAGCTGTTTTGGTCCTATAGTTAGGGGATAGGAAATATGGACCTCCTCAGCCTGGACTTTTCTGTGGGCATTTCCCAGCAGGGAAATAGCACCTTCCAGATTTGTCTGTTATTGTTAGTGCTTTTTTTTTTTTTTTTAAAGAGGACACTTTGCTATGCCTTTTCTAGTCCTTTCAGTTTGTATTAGACTCCAACTGAAAGTCATTTCTTAATTCCATCCTCAATGGTCACCATTAGAATGCTTAGGTTTCTCACTTGCCTAAAAGCTTCAAGGATCAAATTTTCCTTCCCATAGCCTAGAATTACCTGGGAGCTTAAAGTATTTGCTTTCATTCTCATGTTGTGAAAGGATACAATGATGTTCCAGGGTCCAAGTCGAAGCCAGTTTGGCCAAAATCCTTTATAGAGTGCAAAAAAGCCCTCGTGTTTCCACATCTGAAAGATGTAATAAAAAATAGAGTGAATTCCCCTTACTCTTTACATCTGACAATTACATGTATTTTAATATTCATCTTCCAAGTCCCTCCCCAACAACTCATGGCTCCATGAATAGTCCTTTTTTTCTAGACACACATTTGAATTCATAGATAATCTAAATAAATCTACCCATTCATTCAATAAATATTTATTGAGCACCTACCATATGCAAATGTATTCTTGATGCTGAGATAACAGTAATACTAGCAAACAAGAGAAAGAAAGTATCGCCGTCAACATTAACTGCAAAATGATCCCTGCAGAGTTTCCTATCAGAAAATGTATAAGCAAGAGAAGAAATGTATGTTTTAAAATGTGATGGACTAAGGATAAGGATAGGGTTAGGGTTAGGGTTAGGGATAAAGATAGGATTAGGGTTAGGGTTAGGGATAAAGATAGGGTTAGGGTTAAGGATAAAGATAGGGTTAGGGTTAGGGAAAAAAATAAAATACAATGTGATGGACTAAATGCATGAGGGCTATTTACCATTTGCAATAAAAAGGAATCCCCCCAAGAAAAAAAAAGAAAGTATCTGTGGTAGACAGCTTCCAAGATGGTCCCCAAAGAAAGCCACCTCCAGTTTTTCATACCCTTGTGTAGGACCACCCACACATATCAGGATTGGTCTGTGTCTCCAATAGAATAAAGCGGTGGTGAACATGTCATCTCCAATGCTTTGTTATAAAAGATGCTTTATATATAAAGCTTCTGCCTTGTTCTCTTTTAGATCATTCACTCTGGAGGAGGCCAGCTTCCATGTCATGAAAAGGCCCAACTGTGAGAAACTAAGGCCTCTTGGCAACAGCCAAAGAGGAAGAGAGGCTTCCTGCTAACAGCCACATGAATGATCTTTGAAGCAGATATCCCAGCCCCAGTCAAGCCATCAAATAACATTTCATCACTGGTTCATCACTGCAAGTTCTGTGTAATGCTAGGGCCTACCTCATATCAATGTTCTGAGGATCACATGAGGAAAACTGTGAATTCCTTTGAGTTTGGGTTTCCTGTTTCAAAGGTGGTGGTCTACACATACCAGTTTAATGGTTATTATAAATTAAAGGAAAAATGAGGTATATCAAAGGTCATAAACCAGTGGTGTATAATGAATCCAACCTATAGAAACAGTTCCTATTTAATGGACAGATTATCTCTTAAGTGACTCCTGTAACTTAGGCATTGTGTTAGACATTGGAAAAAAATGTTATTCTGCTCTTGTTGGTTTGGCTCAGTGGCTAGAGCGTCAGCCTGCCTGGGTTCAATTCCAGTCAAGGGCATGCACCTCAGTTATAGGCTCAATCCCCAGCCCTGGTTGGGGCCCATCAATGTTTCTTTCTCTCTCTCTCTCTCACTGCCTTCCTTCCACTCTCTCTAAAAATCAATGGAAGAATATACTCAGGTGAGGATTAACAACAAAAAAATGTTATTTTGCCTTTCCACTGGTGAAGTGAAACCCACCACTATACTAAAAAGTAAATATATCTGGACTAGACAATAATTTGAGAATCCAGACTTATAAATATCCCTTATCCTATGCTTGATTTCTTTAGATAAATTCCCAAAAGTGGAATTGCTATGTTGTACGGTGGTAATCATATCATAAGGTATATAAACGTCAAATCATTATACTGTACACCTGAAACTAACATAATATATTGTATGCCAACTATACTTAAACTGAAAAAAATGAGCACTCGAGATAATTATCCATACTAAGCTTTTTTTGGAGCAAACAGCAACATAAGTAGGGCGTTATTTATGAAAGCATAGTGATAATATACTTCCCCCAATGGATTATGAGCAAATGTCAAAGGTCTCAGCAAAACTGATGTTGAAAAATTGTGAAAATCAGCAAGAGTAAAGCCCAGATGCAGATGACCTAGAACCATAGATTGCTAAAATTACAAGGGACCTTAGAAATACAATCCAACCCCATCACCTCTCACCTAGAATACCACAATAAACCTCCAAACTGGTCTACAATCTCCACCTGGAAGTCAAAACAAACTTTTAAATTTTTAAACAAGACACTTTCCTGCTTAAAGCTCCCCAATGACTTCCCAGTGGAATTCATTCTAACTGCAAGTTTTCTGTGATGACATTTAGGATCCTACATAATTTAGCCCCTCCCTCTCTCCAGTTTCATTTCCTACACTTTGCCCTTCATTTACCACACTCAGGCATACCAACCTTATTTTTAACCCTTGAACATGTCCAGCTCATTCCCAACTCAGGACCTTGTACCTGTTCCTTCTTTAATGCAATACTTTTCTCTCCAATCTTCACATGGCCACCTTCTCATCATCAGACCTCTGCTCAAATGTCAACTTCTCACAGCCTTTTCCTAGCTACCCTAGCTGAACTAGTTTCCCATCATCATCATCACTGAGTCATTAGCTCATACATTCTGTTAGTTTCTTCACAGCATTTACTTCTATCTGAAATTATACTCTTTATTTATTGCCTGTCCCCCTCCAGGAAAGCATGGACTGTGCTTGTCTCATTCACCATTATATCCCCACCACCTAACACTGTCTGGCACAGTAAAGTTTCTAACAAATATCTAAGTAAATATAGGGTGCCCAAAATAATGTATACATACACTTTGAATAATTATAAAGGCTGTGTTTATTAAAAATACATTTCATTTTCAAAACAGTGTTATCAGCTGTGAACGTGTGTAAAAATTTTGGGGGGAATGCCCTGTATTTGTTGAGTGAATGGATATACAAACACAGTTAGAGTCTCTAACACTTCCATGAGCCATCTGACTCTTTAAAAAGCTCCAAAATATTGACTAACTTCTTTAGAACATTAGTATTAGGAGGCACATTTTTTGGCTTGAGGCAGTTGTATGAAAACAAACAACTTTTATAGATAAACAGAAACAACATTATGCATTCATTCAACAAATAATTTGCTGTAGATAAAATGACAAAAAAGATGCACACTGTCCTGCCTTCAAGGAATTTACAGTCTACTGGATGACAGATATTAAATGTAATTACAGAGGGGAAGGGTCTGGGGGCTGGGTGAAAAAAGGTGAAAAGATTAAGCAGAAAAAATATAAGGCATGGCAAAAGTAAGTTTACAGTTATGAGTATACAACACATAGTTTATTCTTGTATTATAGTTTATTAATAATTGTATTACTTTCCATACAAATAACTATAAACCTACTTTTCCCACCCCATATATGACACAGACACAGACAATAGAATGGTGGCAGCCAGAGGGAAAGGGGGTGGGGGAAGGTAGAAGAGGGCAAAAGGGGGATAAATGGGGATGGAAAGAGACTTTACTTTGGGTGACGAGTACATGATGTAAAAGTAAAGCCCAGATACAGATAACCTAGAACCACAGATTCAGACAATAAACACACAAATAATAAAGAGCATAATTTCAGATAGAAGAAAATGCTGTGAATAAACTAACAGAATGTATGAGATAGTGACTCAGTGATGATGATGGGAAACTAGGGCAGATAATATTTTATTGAGTTGTACACTTGAAACCTGTATGGTTTCATTAACCACTGTCACCCTAATAAATTAAATTTAAAAAGAATTAAAAAGTAAAAGTAATTTAAAAAAAATGAAATGAATGTGATATAGTCATATGCTGAGCTATTATCCAATAAAAAAATGGGCAAAGGACCTAAATAAACACTTTTTGAAAGAGGACATAAGGAAGGCCAAGAAACATATATGAAAACATGCTCACAGTCACTAATCATCTGAGAGATGCAAATCAAAACAACAATCAGGTACCACCTCACACCTGTCAGAATGGCTATCAGCAAATCAACAAAGGCAGCACAATTTATCAGAGCTAAGATTTGGAAACAGCCTAAGTGCCCATCAGCAGATGAGTGGATTAGAACTGTGGTATATCTACACATGAAATACTACACTGCAGTAAAAAAGAAGGAATTTTTACCATTTGCAACAGCATGGACACACCTGGAGAGCATTATGCTAAGTGAAATAAGCCAGTCAATGAAAGAAAAATACCACATGATCTCACTCATTTATGGAATATAATGAGCAACATTAACTGATGAACAAAAATGGATATAGAGGCAGAGCAGCATCAAACAGACTGTCAAATGACAGTGGGAAGGCTGGGGAGGATTGGTGGGTGAAGGTAAGAGATCAACCAAAGGACTTGTAAACCCTATCTAATAAAGAGGTAATAGGCAAATTGACCATCACTCCAACACACAAGATGGCTGCCCCCATGTGGACACAAGATGGCCAGCAGGGGAGGGCAGTTGTGGGTGATGAGGCCAGCAGGGGCGGGCAGTTGGGGGCAATCAGGCCAACAGGGGAGGGCAGTTGGGGGTAATTGGGCCAGCAGGGGAGCAGTTGGGCATCAATCAGGCTGGCAGGGGAGTAGTTAGGGGGTGATCAGGCTGGCAGGCAGAAGCAGTTAGAGGCAGGCAAGCAGGCAAGCGTTTGGGAACCAGCAGTCCTGGATTCCGAGAGGGATTGGACCTAAATGGGCAGTCGGACATCCCTCAAGGGGTCCCAGATTGGAGAGGGTGCAGGCTGGGCTGAGGGACACACCCCCCATGCACAAATTTAGTGCACCAGGCCTCTAGTAAAGTATAAGAATAACTAATGTATGCAAGACACTGGGAGAGGGGTGAGGGCATGTGCCAGGGGATAGGGGAGGGTGGGGTAAGGTCAATTGAAAAAAAAAGGAGACATATGTACTACTATTTGTAATACTTTAAACAATTAAAAGGAACAAAGTAAAAAAAATCAAATTTAAAAAAAGGAACAAAGTACTGATACATGCTATAACATGGATGAACCTTGAAAATGAAAGGAGCTAGTCAAAAAGGTTACATTTTCTATAATTCTATTTATATGAGATATCCAGAACAGGCAACTCTGCAGTAATAGAAAGTAGATTAGTGCTTTCTTAGAGATGGGGGAGATAAGGGGAATATGGTTTCTGAGGTTATGAAAATGTGGTGATGATGGTTGCACATATCTGTGAATATACCAAAAGGTACTTTGAATAGGTTAATTTTATGATATGTGAATTAGTCCTCAATAAAGATTTTTAAAAATATAATAAATGCTATGATAGAGAAAGTTCACTAAACTATGTACACATAACCTAGTTTAACAATCAGGGAAGGCCTTTATGAAAAAGTTACGAGATCTAAAAATGAGCAGGAGCTAGCCAAGTGAAAGGGACTTAGGATGGAGTGGGGGGGGGGCATCTAACAAAGTATATGGTTTGGAAGAAAACTTGGAAATGAAAGAAAGTCAAGTACTAGAAATTGTTCAGTATATCTGGAATGCAGAGTAAAGGTAGGAAAGATAAGACTGTGGAAGTGAAAAGAGGTCAAATCATATAGAGCCTTGGATCAATGGAAATCCACCCAATGGTTTTAAGATGGAGACGACAGTATGAGGTTTATAGTTGCTCATTTCTATGTCAGAGACGAATGCTTATTCCATTCGCCAAAGTGTTTGGGGACTCTTAGAGATAAAATAACAAGGTATGATGCTATTATATATCATAATAATATAGAGTGAAATTGTTTTTAAAGAATTTTAATAGCAAATAAGTGAATCAGTGAGTAGATATAAGTAATTAAAGGTTAGTGCCAACATGAAAATGTTTCCTTCTATACAACACAGGATAGTGGTTATAAGTACAAACTTTGGAATCAGACAGGTCCTGGTTTAAATCCCAGAGCTGACACTTATTGGGTGTGTAATCTTGGATAAATACTTAGCTACTCTGAAACTAAAATCACTTTTATAAAATGGGAAAGATAATTATCTATTCCATAACGTTGATGTGAGTTAAAGGATATATTATAGTGTGATACATAGTAAACATTCAATAAATGCTAGCTATTACTAGATTATTGTACTCCTCTTAACCAACCTTCTCTACTTATCCTCATTTCCTATGTGTTTATCTGTCTCTTACAATTAGAATTACAGCATCATGAAAGACAGGACTTTTCTGTTCACCAACCTAGAACAGTACCTGGCACATAAGACACAAACATTTTTGTATTGAATGAATGAATGAATGATTAAACACACTCCTCAATGCACAGCAATTGGGTTTTTGCAAACACTAATCTAGCAAACCTCTTCTAGAAAATATTAAAAATCCAATAGGTACTTTGCAGTCCTATACTGGATCTCTTTATTCCATTTGACATTAAATAATTACTCACCCCTTCTTGAAACTCATTACTCCCTTTGCTTCCATGATGTCTATTCTCTTCTAAGTTTCCTCATATCTTTTGAACTGTTACCTTTTTATGTCTTCCCTGAGTTCCGCATCTGCCAAGGCCTTAATAATTGGTATTTCTTTCCTTAGCCCGACTTTTCTCTCTGCATCAGTGATTGTCAAGTGGAAGGATGAGCATATGAGAAACAGCAAGGGGGGGCTTTTGTCAAACTCTACTCCCCAGAGTCTAAGTATCAGTGCCTCTGTGAATCACTATTAACGGAAGGAATTTTTTTAACACTCCAGTGTGCTGGGAAGGCAAAAATGTGAATTCCTTTACCTGCTCTCCTTGGTCTCCTCCTCCACAGTATGCAACACCTGTACACTAATGATTCCCAAGGCTCTTAGCTACACCCACGAACTCTCCTCTGAGTGAAGACTAATATATTCAAATATATCCACTGTATGTTCCTCAGGAACTTCAAACTAAGTGCTCAAAACTGTGATGTCTCCCAGAAAATTCCTGTGATGCTCTGTTAATGAATGCCACCACATGGTCACCACTAAAATAATATGTAAGGTCTCATTAGGATATTTCCAAATATATAGTAAAGCACTCAACATATGAGTTATTATTATTCATGATGCCACCATCTACAGGAAACCCATCCCAAACTTCCAAATTGGGCTAAAATTTCTTCCCACAGATCCCTGAGTTTTTCACTTACCAAGCTGTGTTATGTTTGTACACCCACAGAGAAATGCTATAATTTCTCTGTGCCTACTAAAATGTGCCTGATCTATAATAAAAAGTTGTTAAATTAAGCTGAACCACAGAGAAACTATATGGCAATATCATATTTTAGTCTCAAATTTCTTTTTTGTAGAAGTATTATCACCAGTGATTGTATCATACATAATTCATTTACGATATTTAGCTATCTACAAGAATAACATAGTGGAAATTTTCAAAGCAAAAGTGTGAACAATAGCACAATGCTGAACTGAAACTGAGTACCAGATTTTCTATCACAGGGTCTCCGTCTTTGAAATGTGCAAATGTGAGATACATTAAGTCCTTTATATTAATTGCACATGGTACTATTGATAAAAGTATCCTACAGTCACAAGCATTCAAATCAGAATAATAATATTAAGGACCACTAAGCATCAGCAGATTGCCAAGGACACAGCTTTTCTACCTGGAAATTACTCTGACAGCCTATTAAAATATACATGGTAACTCTTACGTCTTCAGAATTATATGTAGCAATTAAGAATAAGGCTTGAAAGAAGGTCTAAAACACCAAAGAAAATTAAAAATGCAATGCAAGCCCACAGTGTCCATACCTTTAAAATACCATCCAAAGTGCCCTTGTAGAGGTCCACATGTCCCACTATTGCCCTCTGGTTCATCATGCGAGTTCGAACCACATCAACTGGATTAGAAGCCAGAGCCCCAGCCAAGCCACATGTAAAACTGGAACTGAAAAATGAAAAGTTCAAGTAAATAGACTGCCCTTCTTCCACTCCCGCCCCCTAAACAGAAATGAGGGCAAACTTAAATGTACAATGAGTCAGACTCATCAGATAAAATTTGGCACTTGCCCTTTCATTATAATCTAAAAAGAAAAAAATATGTTCTAAAGAGACATTATTTAAAGTTGTCCTTTTCACTTTTCAAACTGAAACTTACATAGCTTTTTTTTTTCTTAAAGGGGGACAATTTAAAAGTATTGCAAGATTCCTAAACAGCAAGTTTCATACATCATATATTAGTTATGTAGATTTTTCAAAACACAGGATCATATGCCAAATGCATTTCAGTAGTAAAATATCATAAAAGTTTCAAGATGAAGAAAATGTAGGATGCGACTGGCAACAGTCTTCAGCCCAAAACTATGTTTTTGTTTTATAGGCCCTATACAATTTGACTTTTTCTGATTCTCATTGAGAAAAGTTTGCTTTCTGTTCTAAAATAAACCAAAGCAAATAACAGATGAACTTATTAGATATAGAGGCTGTGTATGAAAAAATGCAAACACTGACAGAAATCTGACAGGCTATTGTATTAGATACTGCCCTCAAGTACCAAAGCGCCCATAGCATCTGGGATGTAGAATAAAGGTATCAATTCTACATGAGGATTTCAGTGAGGTTTTTTGTGTGCTGGTATTATGGCATGAGCACAACCTATCATACTTACACAAAGTGAGTTAAAATTGTGTCTCCCATCACCCCGGACAATATTAAGTGCTTCTTTGTAATATCGTAGACTGGTAGCTCTACTCCCACAACGATAGCAGCCCGCTGAGCAGTTGGAACGACACCCTACAATTAGACACCAAGAAAATACACAGGTAGTGTGGCATAAGTCCAAAAGTGAACAAAATAAATTGTGAGTTAAAAAGTGACAGAAAAATCCAAGTCTGGAGTATAGACATTACTCTTTCAAATCAATGCCTACTATTGGAACAAGTCTGTGAATTACTAAAAACCATTACATTGTACACTTTAAGATGGTGAAATTAATGGTATGTGAATTATCTCAATTAAGATCTTATAAAAAATCAAATAAAGCCATGAAGCAAAAGTCAGTGGGGATGTATCACTGATTTGTGGATACTGTACCATCCTTGCATCCCTGGGATAAATCCTACTTGTTCATGGTGTATGATCTGTCTGATGTAATGCTGGATCCGATTTGCTAGAATTTTGTTGAGGATTTTGGCATCTATGTTCATGAGGGATACTGGCCTGTAATTCTCTTTCTCTGTGTTGTCTTTATCTGGTTTTGGTATTAGGGTAATGCTGGCTTCATAGAATGAGCTTAAAGTTATTTCCTTCTATCCTAAGACTCCGTTCTCTGTACAGAGGTAGGACCAGGAATCCAAGGTGGAAGGAAGTTTTAGTGCTTGTTGTGAGAGGAGCCAGGGATATAGGCAAAGGGAAACCCAAGGTT